AATGTTTCAAGGCAGTGTCGTCTCCAGTTACTGGTTTTATAGATTCAGGGTATAGAAAATACATGTATAGTATTGATTTCAGCAGACATTGAGGGAGTGCCAGGGGCTGCGCTAGCCAATAGGAATAGAAAGGTGACCAGGTAGCCCAGAGTTTCATTGGGGAGACAGACTCGTAGATGTTTAACTACAGAGAATACAGTGGAATGAGTAATTGTATTCATTTGTTCATTCGTTTCAACAAGACTGGTTGGCATTTAGGCATCGTGGGTAAGGCGATTAATAACCTATGGCCTAAAAAAATAAATAACGTATGGCCTTTACCCTCAGTTCCTGTGAAGTCTAGATGAGAGTTTATGCAAAGTCTAGAGAAGAAAGCCGTACATTCTGCCACATTTGGCAGGGGGTGGAGGGGGAAGCAAGAGGAACAGGGACAGGCTTTCAGCTGCCACAAAAAGGGCATGGGATCATGAGCTGAAAAGTTACAGAAATGCACACAAATATTAATAGCAGCTTTATTCACAATTGCCCAAACTTGGGCAACCGAGCTGTCTTTCAACAAGTGAATGGGTAAACCAACTGTGGTCCATCCACACAGTGGTATATTATTCATCAATAAGAATGGAGGAAGCTTAAATGCATACTGCTAAGTGAAATAAGCCAATCTGAAAAGGCAACATTCTATACGATTCCAACTATATGACATTCTAGAAGAGGCAAAACTAGAGAGACAATAAAATGATCAGTGGTTGCCAGGAGTTTGGGGGGTGGTGAGCGCGGACGAAGGGAGCACAGGGGATGTTTAGGCTGGTGAAACTCTTCTGTGTGATCCGGTTATGGGGGCTCTATGATAGTATGCGTTTGTTGAAATCCACAGAAGGATACAGCACAAAGAGTGAATCCCAGTGTAAACTATGGACTTTGGATGGTGATGATGTATCAGTATTGGCTCAACAATTGTAACAAATGTACCATACTAACCCAAGATGTTAGTAAGTGGGGCACTGGGTGTGGTGGGGAGAGGTGCGTGAGAACTCTCCCCACGTGTTTCCTGCTCAATTTTCTGTAAACCAAAAACTGCTCTAAAAAATAAAGTCTATTATTTCTGTAATTTATTAAGTATTTACAGTGGTGTGTTGATTTCTGCTGTACAGCAAAGAGATTCAGTTGTACATATATATACATTCTTTTTCATATTCTTTTCCACTGTGATTGATCACAGGGTACTGAATATGGTTCCCTGTGCGATGCAGTAGGACCTTGTCGTTATCCATTCTATGTATGAGTCTGCACCTGCTAATCCCAAACTCCCAATCCATCACTCCTCCACCCCCCTCCCCCCAGCAACCACAGGTTTGCTCTCTATGTCTGTGAGTCTGTTTCACAGATAAGTTCATTTGTCGCATATTTTAGATTCCACATATAAGTGATATCATATGGCATTTGCCTGTTATTTTTAAGGGGGGTAGTGCCTGGCCTTGGGGTAGGGAGAAGATGGCAGAGGTCAGCACCTAAGTGTGAGGGCAGCATGAGAAGGGAATTGGTGGTGGGCACGGGGCCGGTGACCAGGGTGTAGTGGCGGTGCTTGGTGGCGAGCGGTTACAGACTCGGGCATGAAGAGGCTTCCTGTAGTGGGAGCCGCGGTGTGCGGTGTGCGTCCCTAGCTGCCTGTCTCAGAGGGCGTAACTCCCGCTGTTTCTGTTCCCAGCAAAGAGCCCCGGGGAAAGTGCTGCTGGATGCGGTGTGCAGCCACCTGAACCTCGTGGAAGGAGATTATTTTGGCCTCGAGTTTCCTGACCACAAGAAGATCACGGTAGGTGACGTCCGTGGGATGTTGCTGTTTTACTGTCTCTTCGACTTGGGGGAGGGAAATAATTGGGACCTTCCTTGGCCATGTGGAAATGTACAACAGAAAAGGTACCCAGAAAGCCCTTGTTAATCTGTTTTTGAAAGTAATGTGTGCATGTGATTAGCAAGTTCAAAGAGAACACACAGTGCAGGCTGCCCCCCCCACCATCTCCCTCCACCCTCCCTCTAAGAACCTCCATCACCAGTGTCTTGTGTATCCTTCTGATAAGAGTCTGTGTATATGTGTACACAAACACGTAATTTTTTTTTATACTGGGGTATAGTTGATTAACAATGTTGTGTTAGTTGCATTTATTGTATTATTTTATTTTATATTAGGGTATAGTTAACAATGTTGTGTTTCAACAGACACATATTTTTGAAAAACGATAATGTGAGGAAACAATACACAATGCCCTGTACTCCACCCACACACCGTTCATATATCCTGGACATCTTTCCTCTTCAGCACATAGAATCCGCTTCCTTCCTTTTCACAGTTTCATGCTGTTCTGCTGAATGGATGTGCCATAACTTACAACCCTGGCTGTAAAGTGTGGGATACTTAGGTTGTACTGAATCATGTGCTTTTTACAAATGGTGCTCCAGTGGACATACTGGTACGTTCATGTTTGCATTCATGATCAAGGGTTTCTCTCAGTAGTTCAGATCCACAGGCACGGAAGTTGCATCATCCGTGGGTTTGAGCATCTTAAAGTTTGCTAAATATGTCATGTTGTTCTTTAAAAAGGTTTCACTGATTTGAACCCCACATTTAGAACATAGAGCACCGTTCTTTTTTCTCTTTTGGCCGATGGCACTTTCTTAAGGCTGTATCCTAGTCTACCTCTTATGAGACACCCTGTTAGGGTGTAAGTTCATGGACTGCATTTCTATTCCGTGCACACTGAGTGCCTGGAACTTTTGCTGGCCCCTGCACTGGGGATCCAACAGGAGTGAGATGGAGAGAATGTATAATCCAGGTGGGGCATCAGACTGAGTCAGTGGCCAGTTCAGGACATGTGGCAGGTGGTCCACTGGAGCCCGGGGGCGTTGGGCAGTGGGAGCAACAAACAGCATTTGTGTTCAGGAAATCCTTCACAGATACTGTGAAACAGAGTCCTATGAGGCCAGGAGGAGTTGACCTGATAGAATGTTCCGGGGAGAGGGGGCACCAGATGCCCAAAGACCAGGCTGCAAGTGGGCTATTCAGAAACCTGCAGAGAAGGCTGAAGTTCAGAGGTGAGGGAGCAGGGCTCTGCTGATGGAGGTGAGAGAGAACCGGAGCCAGGTCTACACGGAGGGACTTTCTGCCCCATTGCTATCTAGTAGAAACGGAAGATGAACCACTCACTTATGTTCAAAAAGTTTTTAAAAAGTGAAATTAATTTAATAGCCTGTTTAATTTGATTGAACACATCTAAAATCATTATCATTTCAACATGTAATCAGTCTGAAAACCTACGAATAACAGATTTTACACTTTTTTCCTGCTAAGCCTTTGAATCTGATATGTATGTGACACTCACAGCCAGACCAGCTGTATCTCAGGTGCTCAGTGGTCACGTGTAGCTAGCGGCCCTTGTACGGGACAGCACAGTTCTGCACCGAGCTAATGTGTTTAGGAAGCTGGTAATGCATTTTAAAGGGAGCGTGGGGGGAATTCCCTGGCGGCCCAGTGGTTAGGACATGGGCTTTCACTGCCGTGGACTTGGGTTCAAGCCCTGGTTTGGGAGCTAAACTCCCACAAGCCACGTGCGAGTCACGGCCATAAATAAATAAATAATGAAATGAATAAAAAATAAAGGGAGTGTGATATGGTCTGATTTATGGCTTAGAAAGACAACTGTAGCCAGATTGGAATCGGACGAGAGTCAGGAGAGCTGTCCGGGGTTCACGGTATAGGGCTGGAGATGGTGCTGGCTGGGACTGAGCCTGCACCTGAAGACGTGCACAAATCATGTTTTCGAGACATACATCTAACCTCTAAGCCCTCTTTGCCGTTTTCTAGTGCTTATGTTAGCTCGAAGCTGCCCTGACTCCCTGTCCTCTTTCTGATGTGGCAGACGACCGCAGAAGGGCCACATCTAATTCCACATTCATTTATGCATCGAACGATTATTTTGTGCCAGTGCCGCGTCCTGCATCACACTTCATACGGCAGAAGACACCTGATATGAAGGGACAGCTAGCAAGTAACAGTTACTGTTTCCAGTCATTAGACGAGCCTGCTTAGGAAGGTTGACAAGGAAACAAATAATTATCATACAGTGTAGCCAGGTCAGTGGACCATTGTTTCATAAACTTGTTTTATGTTAAAATAATGATTCTGAAGACACTTGAAGATTTGTTCTCTCATTATTTCTAGCAACGCTGCCTGCATGAGTCAGGGTCCCGACAGCTTTCCTGACTCCAGTCTTGTCCCGTTCCGATCCTGCTGGAGTTTCTTTTCTCAACCGTAAATTAGCAGTGGTGAGGGTACCAAGACTGAGAATCATTCCGCATCTGGGTCAACCAGTTAGCTAATGGCAGAGCTAGGATTCTAACCCCACTCTTCTGACCTCAAGTTCAGTGCCTTTTGTGTTGACCTTGGGTGCTTCTCTTTTGCGAGCGTTTACAGACCTATTAATCTTTCAGGGTATCTCCAGAGCTGACTTGTTTCAAGTTTTACCAGGCTTCATTTTTGTGATTTCACCGTTTCCTTATCATATTGTTTAGGAATGTGTTCAACTGAAAAATTCCCTAAACCCATTAATGATAACTAAAAGAAAGAGATAATTGTTGCAAATAAAGGCCACTACCTGAGTGCTCACCATGCGCCAGGCTGCTCTAGTTCCTGTGGACACAACAGCAAACATGGCCCATATTCTAAAGCGGGGATCAGCAAACTTTAGTTAAGGGCCAGATAGTGAATATTAGAATAGACGTTTCGTGCCAGAGAGTCTCTACTCCAGCTTTCAGTTCTACCCTTGTAGTGTAAATGAATCGGCATGGATTTGTTCCAGTAAAACTTTATTTATAAAATAGGAAGCTGTAGTTTGCCAACACGTGCTCTAGGAAGTAATAGCTCTGTTCAAGGCATCATAATAGGTTTATGTACACTGTTTCGTTTATTCCGGTTCCTTTATTCTAGCTCATTATACCTCCTTTTTCTGATAAGGAAGCTAAGGCTTAAAGAGTAAGTCCTTTTCAACAAGGCAGACAGCTGAGCAGTGATAGATCCAGGATTCAAGTTCAGATCTTTCTAAATGCTCTTGGTCACCATCCTGCTCTGACCGTGTCTCTATATTTTGCTCTATGTCAATTTCACATCGCAACCTGAAAGCTAATTTCATGTAATTTTCAAAATAGGTTGTTTTAACAAAATTGATCTGTGGTATTAGATGAGATGGTACAAATGCGTACAAGGAGGGCTTCTGGGGTCCTGGCCATGTTCTTTTTCTTGATCTCAGTGCTTGTTCTGTGGGTGCAATCAGTTTGTAAAAATTCAGTGAGCCATACACTTGTAACACGTACACTTGTAATGTGTACACACACACACACACACACACACACACACATATCTTCAATAAAAGTTTACCCCCAAAATGCAGTGAACTAAAAGCACACAGGAACAGAAATAATGACCAAAAAGCACCCAGAGGCTGGCTGATGGAATCTGTCTTGGAAGAGCCTAGGACGAGTCTTGATTGGATGAACTGAGGGAGAGCCACTCACGTGAGACTAGTAAACACTAGCTCCGTTTCCCCTCTGCTCTCAGATAAACTTGCTTGAAGATTTAAGATTTACATCATAGGGTTTTTGTCTCCTTCCCAGATTCTGTCAGTGCTGACTTCCTAGCTGGCCGTTGTATCATAGTGGTGGGTCGGACTGCCAGCCCCCAAACCCCTGCTTTGCCTCTTAGCAGCGGGGTGACTGGGGCAGGTTGCTGGCCTTCCAGTGCCTCACTTTGCCTGAAGGTAAAATGGGGACGACGGTGCCCATCTCGTGGGGTTTTTGAAACGATCAAACACGGTATCTGTCAGCATGTAGCCCGGGGTCTGGGAACTGTGTATGTAGTGTTCAGAAAGTATTAGTTATGGAAACTCTCATCGTCATTCTCATCATTACAGTTTTTTGTGGTCAAACACAGATAACATGAAATTTATCATCTTAACCATTTTCAAGTAAGTCTACAGTAGTACGGTGGTGTTAACTGTATTCATTGTTGTGCAGAAGGTCTCTAGAACATTTTCATCATGTAAAACTGAAACTCCATACCCATTAAACAACAGCTTCCTTTCCTCTTCCCCAGCCCTTGGTAGCTACCATTCTACTTTCTGTTTCTATGAGTTCGACCACTTTGGATACCTCGTATAAGTGGCATCATACATTATTTGTTGTTTTCGGTCTGGCTTATTTCACTTAGTGTAATGTCCTCAAGGTCCATCCGTGTTGGAGCATGTGTCAGAATGTATTTTTTTTCTCTTAATATTTATTTTTGGCTGCATTGGCTCTTGGTTGGCAGGCTCCGGCTTCCTCTAGTTGTGGCGAGCGGGGGCTACTCTTCGTTGTGGTGTGCGGGCTTCTCGTTGTGGTGGCTTCTCTTGTTGCAGAGCACGGGCTCTAGGTGTGAGGGCTTCAGTAGTTGTGGCTCGCGGGCTCTAGAGCGCAGGCTGAGTAGTTGTGGCGCACGGGCTTAGGTTGCTCCGTGGCATGTGGGATCTTCCAGGACCAGAGCTTGAACCCATGTCCCCTGCATTGGCAGGCAGATTCTTAACCACTGCGCCACCAGGGAAGTCCAAGAAAGGCTGAATAATACTGCATTGTGTGGATAGACCACATTTTGCTTACCCACTCATCTGTTGATGGACATTTAGGTTGCTTCCCCCTTGCTTGTTGTGAATAACGCTGCAATGACGTGTTGTCGTTGTTATTTTTAATACTACTGTTGTGGTTATTACCTCTGCCAGGCTTCTTTTGGGA